CAGAGGGGATGGCCATGCTGCAATCCCTTCTCCTCCATTCTCCTCTCAGGATCTTGGGCACACACGCACACACGCCCGATGTGAGTTTAAGCCTCCGGGTCCGGGAATTGAACCGCGGTTGACTACATGGGAGTCCAGTGATACTGCCATTACACTAACTGCTGGTCCCTTGTGCAGTAACTTTGTAATCTGTTATAATCTCACTTGTCTATTTCAGGGATTATTGCTTGTGCTTTGGGAGTCTTATTTAAGAAGTCTTTGTCTACTCCAATGTCTCCCAGAGTTTCCCTAGTGTTCTCCACCAGTGGTTTTATAGTTTAAGGTCTTAGGTTCAGAACTTTGATCCATTTTGACTTATTTTTGTTAATGTTGAAAGATGGGAATTCAGTTTCATCTTTCTGCAGATGGATACCCAGTTTTTTTTAGCACCATTTGCTAAAGAGGTTTTCTTTTTTCCTATGGATTGATTGGTATCCTTTGTCAAAAGTCAGTTGGTTGTATGTTTTGGGATTTATTTCTGGGATCTCTATTCTAGCCCATTGGTCTTCTTGTCTTTTTTTGTGAAAATACCATGCTGTTTTAATTATCACAGTTTTATAGTATATTTTGGGGTCAGGGAGTGAGATCCCACCCACTCTGCTCTTCTTGTGGAGTATTGCTTTGGCAATACAAGGTCTTTTATGATTCCAGACAAATTCTATAATTGTTTTTTCTAGATCTGTGAAGAATATCTTTGGTAATTTGATTGGTATTGTGTTAAATATGTAGATTAACTTGGGTAGAATTGCCATTTTGATTATATTAATTCTTCCAGTCCAAGAACATGAGATGTTCTTCCACTTTTTTGGGTCATTTTCAATATCTTTTTAAAGATTTTCATGTTTTTTTTTTTTTTGTAAAGGTCTTTGACTTCCTTAGTTAGATTTATCCTTCGGTATCTTATACATTTTGTGGCTATGGTAAAAGGGATTTGTTTTTTCAGTTCTACCTTGTTCAACTTATTGTTCATATATAGAAATGCTATAGATTTTTGGATGTTGATTTTGTATCCTGCCACTTTATTGTATTCATTTATTACTTTGAGAAGTTTTTTCATGGATACCTTTGGACCTTCTAAGTATACTATCATGTTATCTGCAAATAAAGATATTTTCAATTCTTCTTTGTCTTTTTGAATGTCTCTTATATTATTCTCTTTACTTATTGGATTGGCTAAGACTTCCAGCAGTATATTAAAAAAAGTGGAGAAAGTGGGCAGCCTTGTCTAACACACAGTTTTTAGAGGAAAAGCTTTTACCTTCTCCCCATTCGCTACAATGTTAGCTATAGGTTTTTCATATATGGCTTTTATTGTGTTAAGAAATGACCCTTCTATACCAATCTTGCTAAGAGTCTTAATCGTGAAGGGATGTTGTATTTTGTTGAATGCTATCTCTGCATAGATTGATATGGTCAATTGATGGATAAAAATAAAATATATATTTTTTATCTTTCTTTCTGTTAATATGGTGTATTATGTTTATGGTTTTGCGTATGAACTACCCTTGCATCCCTGGAATAAAGCCTACTCGATCTTTGTTATATGTTGTTGGATACAATTTGCAAGTATTTTTGAGAATTTTTGCATCTATATTCATCAGAGATATTGGTCTGAAGTTTTCCTTTTTTGTCATATCTTTATGTGTTTTTGGAATGAGGATGATGGAGGCATCATAAAATGAATTTGGGAGGTTTCCTTTCTTTTGGATCTTTAGAAATCAAGCAGAATGGGGGTTAACTCTTTCTTAAAAATTTGGTAGAATTCAGAATTGAAGCTTTCAGGACCTGTTTTTTTTTTTTTTTTTTTTTTTTTTTTTTTTTTTTTTTGTTTTTTTTTTTTGGGGGGTGTTCTCCAGAGAGAGACAGAGAGATAGAAAGCGAGAAATCACCCCGGGGGGATGGCCATGCCACAATCCCTTCTCCTCCATTCTCTTCTCAAAATCTTGGGCAGGGACGCACACACGCCTGGTGTGAGTTTAAGCCACCAGGTCCGGGACTCGAACCACGGTCAGCTATATGGGAGTTCAGTGACATAGACATTATGCTAACTGTTGATCCCGCTGGGCTTTTCTTTGTTTGGAGGCTTTTATTAATGATTCAATTTCATTGCTTGTTATGGGTCTATTCAAGTGTTCTATGTCCTCCTGATCCAATACTGGTAGATTATATACATCCAAGAATTTGTCCATCTCCTCCACGTTCTCTTGTTTGTTGGCATATAGTTGCTCATATGTATCCTCTATGATGTTTGTATTTCTATTGTCTCTTGTAAATATTGCCTGATTCATTAAGTATTTGATTGATCTGGTTCTTTTCTTTTCTTTA